ATCCCTAGTCTTACCTGCTTAAGCAGAGACTAATTTCTCTGAGTCAGTTTTAGCTGAGAATTATTTAATTTTTGATAAATATCTTTAAGTGATTAAAAAAAGAACTATCTGTGTGTCACGGTCCCCGTGCCTCACCGGCTGATTCCGTGTTAGGCAACATGTGTTCTTGTGCTCTCTCTCTCTCTCTCTCTTTCCCCGGTGCTCACTGTGGGCTCCACCCCTGGCCCACACACCTGTGCTCATCATCACACCTGGCGCTGGTTACCACAATCAGAAGGGCTTTTTAAGATGGCAGACCTACACTACTCGTCGCTGGAACGTTGAGTCACCTGCGTTAGTGCTTCAGCAATCTGCCTAAGTCTGTGAGTTTCCTTGTGATCTAGTGCTACTAATTGGATTTTCTGTTTGTGTGCGTAGATTCCCCCCGGACCCGTCCCTGTACCCCCGAGTGAGCGAGAAGAGCGACTGGAGTGAGAAAAGAGTGGGATTGTTGGATGAAAGAGCAGAGTGTGGTTTTGGACCCTTCCCCCCTGGAGCCCCGGACCCCTTCCCCGAGCACCTTGTATATATATAATCACCCAGTGACACCACTGTAAATAAACGCACTATCAGTTTCTGCAAAGGTCTCCTGGTCTGCGCCTGAGTCCGTTTACAAAACCGTGTCACTGTGGCCTTATTAATATTCTTATCAAAACTGAGAACACAAAAATTATGCCCAGATTCCAGATGTGTTTCCAAAAAATAGTATTGATATGAACAGAATTTTTTTTTCTGACCTTTTGGACCAAAAACAAAATATTTCTGCCATAGTTTCATATTTAGACAAATTTGATCTTTTCTAAAGAGATCTGTTATTTTATGGAAGGTAATAAAATTGTTCACCTAGTGGGTGTCTCTTGAACAACAGTAGCTCTTCAAGATAGAGCTAGAGTGAACCAGAGTTTGGATGACTGGGTGGGTGGCATGCAGACCACCCTAACACTGGGAAGAGCATCACTAGGGCAGGGGGTGAATTGAATGCTACTTGGCCACAGTGATGAGGTTGGTCCCAGAAAAGTTGGTCAAGAAGGGAGATGGACACCTGCCAGATGGAGGCAACTACAGAAGGCCACTTACTGTCTTGCACCAACTGTGACCACATCATTTTTTAGTCTGTTTATTAAAGGATTCTGATTCGGCACCCCACAGGTGGAGTATGATTGTAGTTATCACCAGCAGCGTGGAAATCATCCTTATTCAGGATAGAGAATTAGGCTCAGATATTCTGGCAAGACATGGAGCTAGCCTAGGCATTTGGCTTAGTTCCCAGCTTGTTCAAAAGGTGAAATGCCAGGTGGCAGCTACATCCAGGCATGGGAAGGCTGAAGTTAGTTTCTCATCTGCAATGGTGACTATGGAGCCAAGGAGCCGCTCAACACATCTGATCTGGTACCAAGTAGATATTCTTCCTTCCAACTAGGCAATTTTTGTAAGTCAAACGGAGACAGTTGCCACATCCATTAGGAAGAAACGCTGAGATCTTTAACATGACCAATAAGTGGAAGAGCCCCGTCACCTTTCAACTGGAAAAAAAAAAAGGTCGGGAGGACATAATGCAACCACAAAGAGAGTGAAGCACATGCAAGCAAGTGTCCAAGACATACTTTTAACTTATGCAGACTCCAAAAACAGTATCAGACGTTTTGGCAGTTTGCAAGTCAGTATACCACTTTGGTGGTTTTCAACCACTGCAAATGTGCTCCTGTGCAGCCCTCCACAATCCCAACTGCATATCGCTAGACAAAATCACCTATAGGGCTGCTCGATTATGGCAAAAATGATAATCACGATTATTTTCACTGAAATTGAGATCTCGATTATTTGACGATATTTATTTAACAATAACAATGTATTGAATAATGACTTTAAAGATTGTCATAAAATAGTGTGCAAATACTGATAAC